ACTTAGCATAATGATTTTGAGGTTCATCTTAATTGTCATATATATTTCATTTATTTTTATGATTGAATAATACTCACTCCTGTGGAAATACATAGGACCTCCTGCTCCATAAGATATCTTCAGAGTGTTAAAGAGAAAAGATATCTATCTGTTTGAGGACTAAGGTGTCCCTGACTCAAGTCTTGGTATTTTCAATGGCCTCATATGGATATATTAAATTCCAGTAGCTACTTGGATCTATTTCTTTCCTCTTTATTTGGTTTCATTATTAATATCTGTGTTCCTTTTCTATGTGCAAGAATCACAGGTCCTCACTACCCCATATTCATTGAATTACTATTTTAATTTTGGAAGGGAATGTCTGCTCCCCAATTCTATCACCAGTCCTAATAATTCTTCTCTGCCCCTTAACTTTTCATGCTAGTTCTACATGATCAGTCCGTTAGGTAAACCTTTCCCTCTTTCTATGAATGACATTATAAATAAATATTTTCTTGACATTCATATGAAAAATTATCATTTTAATTTTTACTTCAGTAAATAGTCAACAATTCCATCTCAAATGGACTAAATGGAAATGAGTGTTCATTGTACATTTCAGTGTAGTTATTAATTAGTATCAATCTGACAAATGAAATTTTACATTCTTAGGTGGATTGTGATTTGTTTTTGTGTTTTTGTTTTGTTTTGCTTTTTAGCTTTAAAATCTGAAGGTGATGATTACTATATTAATGGTGCCTGGACTATTGACTGGCCTAGGAAATTTGATGTTTCTGGCACAGCCTTTCACTACAAGAGACCAACTGATGAACCAGAATCCCTGGAAGCTCTAGGTCCCACCTCAGAAAATCTTATTGTTATGGTAAATGTACCTTTGCCATTCCATTTCTACTGTATGTAATCACATTGTTAGCTAGGAAGGGCAAGTTTCATTATCTCTATTTTACAAGTGGTTAAAATAAGGTAAAGAAAAATAAAATAATCTTCCCAAGATTATAAAATCTGTCCAGTATTAAGGCTATAGTGCTCTTTCCATATAGTTTTTTTTTGCCATCTTTGGGGAGGCACACATTTTTTCAATGCCTGCTTGAATTTTATTTCTATATTCAAATGAGGGAAATCAGAAAAATAGCTCCCCAAATCTACACATGAATAAGAAAACTCAATATCGGTGCATGTGTTGTCAAAAACTTCTACTTTTTTATTGTGATTGGAGTAAATGTTTACAGAGCAAATTGATTTTCCATTAAATAATTCATTTACTTTATAGATGTTTTATGATATTAAGTGTTGTTCCCACAATGTAACAGCTCTCTTCCCACTTCCTTCCTGTGTTTGCTCTATCCATTTGTCCTCTTATCCTATCTCCTCCTGCCTTCTGGTCTTTATCACTAGGTGAATGCTGCCCTTTTAATCTCATGTGGTTGATTGTTCTAAGGAGTAAATATTTTCCTGATGTTATTGTTTACCCTATAAGCCTGCCTGTCATTGACTGAGACATCTGGTGTGGCACTGTAGGATAAGCATTGGACTGCTAATCATAAAGATGGCAGTTCAAACCCACCAGCTGCTCTCAAAAACCCTATACATGGTGGCTATGAGTCAGAAATGACTTGAAGGCACACAAAAACAACAACATTATTGGCTGGTAGGTAAGCCATGGGGATGAGTTCAGTTTCAGATTTGTCAGGTTTGAAGTATAATCTTGGCGATTCCCCCAGTCTCTTTAAAGCCTGTAAGCCTGGTTTTTCTTATGACTTTGAGTTTTGTTCTATATTTTTCTACCACTCTATCCAGGACCCTCTATTTTCATTCCTTTCAGAGTGGTCAGCAGTGGTAGCAGGCACTACGAAAATTTTCTGGCCTCAGGGCTGTGAGGGCTGAGGTTCACATGGTCAGTTAGTCTTTTAGAAAAATTATTTTCATGATTTTTTGGTTTTCTTCATTCTTCTTTTTACTATAGATGGGAAGAGACCAGTTGTTGAAGTGCATGTTATTTTTTAAAGTTACCTTGAATTTCCCATAAGACTTGCTTTATTATGTTTCTTCTTCAAAAAAATAATGATTATCGGAATGAAGGCTCATGGTACTTTAATTGTCTTCACCAGTTGTTTTCAATGGCAGGTTCTGCTTCAGGAACAGAATTTGGGAATTAGGTATAAGTTCAATGTTCCCATCACTCGAACTGGCAGTGGAGACAATGAAGTTGGCTTTACTTGGAATCATCAGCCTTGGTCAGAATGCTCAGCTACTTGTGCTGGAGGTAAGACACCCACTAGGCAGCCCAGCCAGAGGGCAGGATGGAGAGGAAAACATTTTCTGAGCTATGCTTTGCGTTTGCTACAGAAGCTAATTAAAAACATTTCTTGCAGGTTTGCTTCAAGCTGTAATTTAGCAAAAGAAACTTTGCTTTAACTATATTATATTCCACTTGTTTTCAACCTTGTGTAATTTGTACAGATTTGTTGGTAAAATACATCTTGGCACAATGAGTGTCTGCTGGTGCTTCTCCCAAGACTGTCTTGAAGGTGGGCTGTTTGCTTTTCGGGCACACATTCTTGGTAAAGAACATCAAGAGTTTTGAATAGGAAAATGAATAAGAATCAGACGGCAGAGATGAAACATCTTATAGTGGGGGATGAGAATGTATGTATGCTTGAGTATTTGTATGATTGTGTGTTTCCCATAATCCTATGCAAACTCCCTTCTCCAGCCATCAAAGTTAAGGGGCTCTATTCTATACTGGGATACTACAAAAATTACTGGTGTCTGGGTCTCTGGGTTAATGGTGTATTCTGACCCTGTTATAGTCCAGAGAGGTAGCTGCTAGGCGGTGGTTGGTGATGTGTTGGTTGTCCCATGTGCGTTTTTCATGGGTGCCTTTTCCCCACAATTTACTCTATTCCTAATCCTCCTCCCTCTAGTGGCCACCAATGCAATTCTTTACCTCTGGCTGGGAGAGCAGGACAGTTGGCTTCCTTCAAAGCCAACACCCTTGCTGCTGCATGGACTGGTGAGTAGAAGTGCTGTGTAAGCAGCATCTTCCTTCTCTCTGGAGACTAAATGCATCGCCTCCACCGTACACCTTGATTCCAATAGGCAAGGAAACAGCCCTGTCCTTCTACCCTAGGCTGGACTAGACACCTCACCATTCCAAAAGCAATGGTTAGATTTTGAATAGTGATATTTAGAATGGGCAAAACTGAATTATTAAAAAAGTGAATCATCCCATTTTACCCCACACTCTATTATCTATTTCCCCTTTCCTAACTGCTCAGAAGTGTATGGCTTTACATGGGCTTCATCCTTCTTTATTCTGTTCTCATTGAATCTCAAATTAACTCTTATTCTCAAGAAATTATTTTCACAGAAATGGTTTTGATATAATAGATTAAGTGTTTTTAGGTTTATATGGAATTAAGTCATTGATTTAAAACCAATTCCAACTTTGATTCTAAGCACTAAATGAATAAACAAAAAAGAAAATGGATAATTTATTAATGTATATTCTTGTGTGAAATATTATGGGATATAATTATGTATAACTATTTTATAATATTTTTATTTAAAAATAACTCTAATTCCCATCCATTTTATGTGAGCAATGGTTGGTGACTTATAATGTAAACTTTACCAAATTATAGGGCAATACTGATTCTTTCAACAAAATAAAGGATACTTGCAATTAAGTATTCAAATGAATGCCATTGGTTATAGATTAATGGCATTTATGTATCTTAGTTTCAATTAAATCACTTTTATTCAATCTATATATTACTTTATCCCTTTCCATGTAACAAAATAAATTTTCATTGGAAAATACATATATATTATAGTATGTATATAATTCAGACCTGAGCTGAAGTGGGATAAATTATTAAAGAAGGGAAAAATAAGTTAATGTTGAGGAAATCAAATGAGGAGAGTCTAAATGTTCAGGTTGATTAGCTTGAGGGAAAGAAGAAGTTGAGGGAAAGTGTATTCGTGTCTTCAACTATGTGACAGAATGTTGAATGAGAAATTCTTAGAGCCTGTTCTCTGTACTGAAATTGCTATATTTGGGGATGGTTTAGACACAGTCTTATCTGAAGCCAAGGAGGGATTAAGTGAATTCTCTGTGTTCCTTCTATGATTCTATTGTTCAGAAAGGAAACAGTTCAACAAAAAAGGCAAAAACAATCATGAGGACTGAATTTAGAAGAAAAACAATGATTTAGTAAAGTTAATAACTCTGAAAAATCTACATATTTTATTCTTTCCCATCAACATTTATATGAAAAAATGGCAGTGATTTATTGTGATAATAGATTAAATAAGAAATAAAAACAAACCAAAAGAAAAACAGGGAAGGAGAAAAGCCCCTGAAAGGAAAGTTTCCTATTTTTTGAAATTTACACTCTCTCTTTGATTCTGGAGCTACGGATTTTATATAGTTGAGGTGGTTCTGAGACGTTGGATTCTCAGGTGTACGTGATAATGACAGCATCCATGGAACTATTGCCTTCTTTGAAAGAGGGATAAGCACTGCTTGAAAGTTGGCAGAGGTGCTGTGAAAAGTGACAGTATGTCATGGTCAGTGGTTCTGAATGTGTGGTTCCTGAGTCAGTAGCATCAACATCTCCAAGGAATTTACTATAAATGCAAATTTTGGGGTCCCACCTTAGTTTCTACTGAATAGAAACTCTGGGGTGGGCCCAGCAATCTATTTTTTAAAAAGCTCTCCAGGCGATTCTGATGCAAGCACTTGTTTGAGAAGCACTTACCTTGTATAACAAAGAAACTGAAATTTCATACTCTAGACACATAGAATACACCATCTCATCACTGAAGTTTATGCACCAATCTAGAATCATTCTGTTCCAGAGTAATGTCTGGCACATACTAGATGCTCCAGAAATGTTTGCAGATGTTTGAATGAGAAAAAAGAATTCAACTGAATAATTATATATATGAGTTTTGTGCTAATTATTTCCAGTGTGGGATATAGGAACTTATAACTACTCCTAGTGTAGCACTGTTGGTTAAGCACTGGACCACAAGGTTATTTGAACTGCAAAGATGGCAGTTCAAACTCACCAGCTGTTCCTCAAAAACCCTATACAAGGTTGTTATGAGTCAGAATAGAACTTATTGTTGACAGAACTTAACAACAACAACAACAATTTTCTTATGTGTTAGGAATTAGGGATTGCCAGAGAGAGGTTATAATTTTAATTTCATAGATAAGTAAATCAAGATCTTCTCTTTTATTTTTTCATTTTGATTAGGTAAAAAGTATTTCCTAAGAGGGTGAGTACAGATGTCAATAATTGAAGTTCCTCTTCCTATACATACCCTTATTTCTATCCCCCTTCCTAAGATATTTTCAAATACAAGACATTTATGATAGAGAAGAAAAGTTTATTAAGGCTGAAGAAATCTTTATCAAAGACAGCAGATGTTAACAATAAAAAAACAAAACAAAAAGCGATTGCTGTCAAGTCGATTCTGATTTATTGTGATCCTACAGGACAGAGTAGAACTTGTCCATAGCATTTCTGAGCTGTAAAATGTACACAAGCAGACATTAAGTAAGAGTAAATAGAACTTCATGTACAGTTTAAAAATCTTCTCAAGAAAACATCATTTTTGTTCATCTATTTCTGTCTCGTTTTCACTTAGTACTAAAGTCAGTCTGTAGAATAAGTACTGGACTGCACAAACCACAAATCCCACAGCTGCAGTCCACCAGCCACTCCATGGGAGAAAGATGAAGCTTTCTGCTCCCTCAAAGATTTACAGCCTTGGAAATCTTATACAGCATTAGGATGCGTCGGAACCAATTCAACAGCACTTAACAACAACAACTCTATTTTTGTCTTTAGGTTGTCCATTTTTTTAAAAAACAGAAAACAAGAGAAGTCTCAAAGAACATGCTATTGTAACCTCAGACTGCACCTGTTACCATTCCACACATGTTTTATTATTTGCAGGACTTTTGGACTTTAGCTACATTTGAGAGCAATGACAATAGGTTTCTCTTTCGAGATTTTTAAAGATAAGAAGTTTTGAGATTGTTTTTCTGTTGCTTAGCAGACCAAATATGACAAACTGAATGCTGCAGGGAGCACTGCTGATGGCTCAGTCCAAGTAATGGTCTTTTCTCTGAGTCAGGGATGAAATACTTCCTTAGCCTGATTAGAAACATTGGGATGCTATGGGATGTTGTCTTCAAGAAAAATGAGATTTTTAAGATACAATTGTGACTCTTCCTCTGAAACCCAGCCCTGATGAATTAAAACGTGACTATTCTGTTGTCAACATAGCATAGTAGTTACAAATCGGGCTGCTAACCTCAGGGTCAGCAGTTCAAAACTACCAGCTATTCTGCAGGACAAAAATGCGACTTTTTGCTCCCATAAAGATTTACAGCCTTGGAAACCCTGTGCAGGGTCACCATACTTATTCAACCTGTATGCTGATCAAATAATCCAAGAAGTTGGGTTCTATGAAGAAAAACGTGGCATCAGGACTGGAGGAAGACTCATTAACAACCTGTGATATGCAGATGATACAACCTTGCTTGCAGAAAGTGAAGAAGACTTAAAATATTTACTGATGACGATCAAAGAGCACAGCCTTCGGTACGGATTGCACCTCAATGTAAAGAAAACAAAAATTCTCACCACTGGACCAATAAACAACATTCTTATCAATGGAGAAAAGATTGAAGTTGTCAAGGAATTCATTCTTTTTGGATCAACTATCAACACTCATGGAAGCAGCAGTCAAGAAATCAAACAACTTATTGCATTAGGTAAATCTTCGGCACAAGACCT